TCATTGGAAGGCTGGATTCTTGCACAAAGTACACCATATCCAAAATCAATACAGCTGTTGATTAGGGAAAAACAAAGCTTGTCCTTCCTTAACATTTTGTTTTTATCTGTTCAAGGTATCGGTCTGTGACCCAGTACTGAAAATTACCTATTTGGATTCTTGATGTTTTAACTGATACGAGACTAAATTTCAACAGATCTTGAAAGCACATTTCAATAGTGAAACCTTTCTTGAACAATCCATCTTCCTAAATAGAATTAATTTTCTCCTTGTTTTCCATTTGACAGAAAGGGACGAAGGCTCCTCAGGCAGCAGGGAAGATTCACACTGATTTTGAAAAAGGATTCATTATGGCTGAAGTAATGAAATATGAAGATTTTAAGGAAGGAGGCTCAGAAGCAGCTGTCAAGGTGAACTCGCCATCCCATTCCATCCTATCCTTTCCTTTCCTTTACGCCATTTCCTATTTTAGGACTTCATTGGAGAGAAGTCCCCAGTGATAAGTGAACCTGACAGTCAGTGCTAATAATGCAACACAGGCACACTGCCCCCCCCCCCCCCCCCCCAAATAAGATGCTGTTAAAGATACAGCAACTTAATATATTAAGGTATGACAGTTACTGGGACAATTCAGGACTAAAGTTTCATACTGGACAACAGTACATTGTAACTGCATTGTTTTAGGCCATTAAAGAGGTGTTAGGCCATTCTCGTATCATTCCAAAAAATACAAAACATAGCCATTTGTTCTGTAAAAATAAGAAATGTAGCAAATGACATAATGAGGTCATAGTTCTTCAGTGCATATTTAAGGGAATGGTTTATTATATCCTATTGAAGTTTTTAACCTCTTTGTAAATTGAAGAAAACACACATTCCATAAAAAGATATTTGAGCAGATAATTTCAGAATTTTCCACTAATTATGGCACCTGAAAATGTTACTATTTGATTATTCCATTTATTATAGCTACATCCGTCTCTTGGAAGGAAACCCTTTTTCTGACCGATGGCATCTAGCCTTATCTATCGTTAGGAAGATGGGGAGTTTGATCTCCTTTCCAAACACTAGAGGGCAGAGGCTGATAGGTGCCCAGAGTTGTGCCCTGCTAACAGCAGTTACCTGTGTTTTTATCAGATAATCACAGATACAATCAGATTTAGGTTTTATTGCATCTGGAGTGAAAGAACCACATTTTTTAAAATCTTTCCTGTTGTTTGAAGCCTAAAGAAGCAAGGTTTCAGTTTTTAATGTGCTATCATTTGGCTTTTTGGTTTTTTGGGCATGTTTGTTTCTTAGTAGTGTATATAAAGGGAGAAGGTGTTAAATTAAGCTGGTGCAATAGCCAAAGCATCCTAGCAGATAATGCATTAAAAGATTTTCATGACTGTATCTCATTATCTTCGATTTGATAGCTTGTGAGGGATGCAATAATGTAATTTCAGATGTAGCTTATTTTCACTAAAGAAGATTGTACTGAGCAGCAGGGTTTTAATAGGTCCATTTGAATCACAGGAAGTGTGAGCAATGATGTGTGTGGGGGGGAATCCCATTATAATTGGTTTGTTGTGGCATGCGAGCCATCTTATAAAAATGAAGTTGCCTTCAAGCCCTACAAGTAAACCACAGTCATAAATAAATAAATCTCACATGTTTTTAAAGTCAAGAAGATTGTTCACTTGTCAAATTATAAATGATATTGGATCACTCCTTACAGTTACATATGAATTTGAAGTGTATTGCACAAAAGCTACATTGTGATTGTCAAAAGTTTTTACTGATGTTTTGGTTTAATTTTTCCACGCCCAAAGAAATCGCACAAGCTGAAAATCATTTTAAGTCCGTAAACATCTCCCTTTAGAAAATGCTGTGTTGTAAGGAATTAGAATCTGGGGAAAAGCTGAACATTACATTGTCTGTGTATTGGGGCAGATTGTTATTGTAAACAATGCAGGCCACCATTTATTTCTGTTTGTATTTCAAAGTTGATTTTGGGAGTTTCCGGATTCAGTTGAAACAACAGTGGTCATGGCTGCTGGTTGCTTTGTATATTGTGAAGCTGATCAATTTTTAAGTTTATTTTGTGTGTGTCTAACACCAGTACAGCATAACTAATTTAATGCCAGTGCTGTGAACTATGCACTGAAAAGCTCTGTGTGGGCTTTGTAGTCTACAGGGATATCACATTATTAGCAATCATATCTGCTTAGGCAAAGCTGGCTTCTACAGATGGCTGCTTTCAAGTGCAAATGAACTGGTTAGACGTGTCTTGTTTAATACATACTCAAGATTCACAAATGGGTATTGATTTTTTTTTTTCAGCCAGTGTTTCTGATAGCAATGAAAATGGATTAAATGGCCTCCAGGGAATTTAAAGGAACACAGTCACTTTTAATTAATTGTGAACTGGTAGCTAAAATACATAATACTTGTATTAGTATGTCAGAATGTATTTAATTAAAAGTGACTGTGCCCACTTTGTGGAAACAATGAACACAGCCACTTTGAATGAAACATGCTACTCAGAGAATGCTTGAACATTAAGCAACTCTCTGCAAGCTTTCTACACGAGAAAATGGTATATTTTCTGAATCAGCTGTTAGTTTTGCTGGTAGGGCCCAAAGTTGGCTGCCAGAAAGTCATGTTGTTGCTACTCCCTTCTCCTGCACATGTTCCCCCATTCTAATACCTGCCTTTCTCTCTGCGCCTCCTCCTTTTCTTCCTGTAGAAAAGAGGGGAAGTATTACGAGTCACAGCCATGCCTAGCAATGGCCCTGCATGTGCCTCCTCATGCTCTTGGATCGCCCAAAGCTGATCTGAGTGCCCACAAGTTGTTCCCGCCTCAGGATATGTGTTCCCCGCTGCCCTTCGTTGCCAGCCCAGAAGCCAGAGAAGCACCGGCCTGCTGTGTGAAACAGCTTGGGATTTGGGAGGGAGGTAGAGTCATGCATGCACAATGTAGAGAGGCAGAGAATGCGGATCTGAACCGTTGTGTGTCTCTCAGGTGCCACTCACTAGCAATGATGGGTCTTCTCTCTCCCAATCCCATTGCTTCAAATGGCTTCCTTGTTTGCTGGCTGGCTTGCTTTGTATTCTGCCCAGCAGCCATCAAAGGGATGTGGGAGAGAACGGGAAAAAGAGGAATGGAAGCGAAGAAGGAATGGATGTTGCAGCACATGCTTGGACAGGAGGACAGCCACCAGTTGCCAATCCCAGATGTGTTTTATTGCATGATCTTAAGTGTGGCTTACATTTATAGACCAATCGGTACATGTCACTAACAAAACGAAGTATTCCTGGCTGTAGACATCGCTCGTAGCATTGCCAGTTCATTATACAAGTGTGTTGCTTCTGAAATGCTTGAATATATGTTGGGCTTATAATGTCGTGCCGTTTCAAATTGTAAACAAGGTAATGGATCTTCATGATCCAAGTCACCAAAAGAGAGGAAACAGCAGGTCCATTATCTTAGCAGAAACTGGTCTTCTGATAGCTTAATCTATCTACTCTTATAGGTATTATGGCATTTTGTAGCCAATTTTCTTGCTGTAGAGTCTTAGAAAAAGTTGCCTCTGGAAACAAAGTAGAATGTCTTCTTTCTATTTTGTTTAATTTGCGCTGTAAATAACTTTCTTGAGTGTAAGCATATAAACATCTTTTCTCTCTTCACTTGATTAGTTCTGGCCCATTCTTTCCTGATAGGACAAATTATAGTTGGCAAAAATAATTTAGGAGACACAGGGAGAAAAATAGCACTCTTATGTAATAAATGTATTCTCTGGATGTAATTTTGTTTGTCGATGGTCCTGGCTTGTTTCAGTTTCTGCAGCTTGTGGCACTCCCTGTCTCTAAAAACTTGCCCAAAACACAAACTTCTGCAAAGAACACACTGTGACATTTAATCCGCTTCTTCTTAAAGCTGTTCTGTGGCTAAGAAAAATATTGAAGGCCCTCCCCTGCACCAGCCACATGATCGCCTTCTATACCTCTGGCCTATCACACCTCCTTTGGGCCTCCTGCGCCTAATGCCTGTAGCAATGCGGCTGCTTAAGATTCCACTACGTGCAGGCTGCTTGCATGTGGTGAACTGAGTCCCTACCTGGAGGAGGATTGCCTAGCAACTGTAACGCACGCATTGGTTAGCTCCCAGTTTATGCGCTTTACGTGGGGCTGCCCTTGAAGACAGTCCAGATACTTCAGATGGTTCAAAATAGAGCTGCCAGGATGCTGTTGGGGACTGGGTGTTATTCTCATATAACCCCAGTCCTCTACCAGCTCCATTGGCTTCCCATCAAAGTCTGGGCTCAATTCAAGGTGCTGGTTATTACCTATAAAGCCCTAAACGGCTTGGGACCAGGAAACCTAAAGGAACGCCTTCTTCCCTATTTGCCCTCCCGCTCCCTGAGATCGGCAGCAGAAGCCCTCCTCCGGGAACCCTCCATGAAAGATATTAGGAGACAGAGTACCCGGAGGAGGGCCTTCTCTGCGGTGGCGCCCCATCTATGGAATGCGCTCCCAGAGAGGTCCACCTGGCATCATCATCATATGTTTTTCGGCACCAGGTTAAGACCTTTTAATTTAATCAATATTTTAAGAAGTTTTAATACTGAATTTTATTACCGTATTTTAATAGCAGCCAGAGTGGGTCGTCAGTTTATTTATATTATTTTGTTATGCATTTTGGAATTTTTTTTGTGTAAGCCGTCCTGTGGCTCTTGAAAAGGATGGCATACAAACATCTTAAACAAACAGTTCCTGTGCGGAACATCAGTGCACAACTGCTGATTTTCTCCTTGACACTCCTGTGTTTGGTTTTTGTTACTTTGCAGTGACGGGGAGACGATCTCTGTGTCGTAGGGCCAAGGCCTGTTCCTAAGCAATCGGCCACATGGGAGAGCCTCCACCCAGTGGGCATCTCATGGCTGCTTGCTTGTTTACACTGGGCTTGGCTTTATGCCTTCAGGTCCAAACACACCAGAATGCTTGCTCACCACTTCCCATTGCCGGTGGCAGAACGCTTCACCTGCCTTCTGATGCTTCCCGGTTTCGGTCTGTGTCGCTCCATCTGCTTATATTACTCCCAAGCATCAGGATGATCAAAATTTCAAACTAGTGGTATGGGTGTAGGGTAGGAAACATCTCTCCCTTTTTAATTATTGTTAAAAAGTAATTGGAATTATTTCCAAATCACCCATCCACTCAGTGAGATGATTTACAGTGAAACCCTAAACATTCCACTAAAATTGATAAACTGCCTAACAGGAAAATAAACAAACCTTCAAAAATCAAACAGCAGTCTTAACAAGTAGAACCTCAGTGGAACCACATAGTTTTGCCAGTTGCCTGAAGGCCAGCAATGAGGGAGCCAACCAACTTTGGCCAAGACAGTCTGTCTCTGCTCCCCACCAACCACAACTCTTCAGGAGGTGGCCCATGTGAGAGTGCCCCAGAGGAAGGATGTATGTTCCAGCTAGATTCTTGTGGGAGGAAACAACCTCTCAGATTTCTTGGTGCAAAATCATTTTAGGGCTTTAGAGGTAAGAACCAGAACTGAGCTCAGAAACAGACAGAAAGCCAGCAAAGAACTTCCAAGACTGGTGTTAAATGCTTGGCTGCTTTGTTTTGCACTGGCTGTATTTTCTGAACATGGGCTGCTCCCTGAATGGTGTTAGGTGATCTAAATGTGAGGTGCTTATGGCATGGGTTGCTATGGCTGGATGGTCTTCTACTAGCTCAAAGCTTCTTCTGATTATAGAAGGGCGTTCGCAACTTTGCAGAAAAGCATTGCTGAGAGAAAGGTGACCCTCAAATGCAGAGGAGTTCATCTGTTTGCACAAGGTTTTTCACCTAAGCTCGTTCTCTTTTATGCTTTATTAGTTTAAACACCGTAACTTGTATTACCTACCAGTGCTTATTCTATAATGCAACTCTGAAAGCCAAGAATAGCACCAGTACATCTTCTTCTTCACTCATAGTTTGTTGGATCCAAGTATTGTGTTTGAAGTATATTTGCATATGTAATTAAAGGACAGAAGAGGACTGGTTAATATGGTACACTACTTCATTGATGGAAGAGTGAGAGAAATACAGACTATCCTAAATTTAGTAAAGATACATGTTCTCTTGTTAAACAGTCAAGCGTTATTTTCAATCAGCAAGAAGATTAGGGCACTGCAAAACTTAAAAGAAGAATTTAAAATGCTGTTACCTATTTTTTAAAATATAAAATAACACGCATCTGTGTTTAGGGATGTGAAGCAAAAGCAGAGTTGACATGGTATAAGCGAATCTCATACTGATGTTGTTTTCACTATCAGCAGTGAAGAATAAATTATGATTATATATTTGTCAATCAAATTCAGCCCAAGTCAAGAAGTTTATAGCTACCAGTCGTTTTCCTGAGTGGATAGTATTTTATTCAACATATACGCTGCTTTTTAAAATACTGTATTGGTAGCAAACATAATTTTAATACTGTATTCTGTTTCTTATCTCTCCTAGGCTGCTGGGAAATACAGACAACAAGGCAGAAATTACATAGTGGAAGACGGAGATATTATCTTCTTTAAATTTAACACACCTCAACAGCCTAAGAAGAAATGAATATTCTGTTCATTGCTCAGAATTAAAGTCTATTACCCCAAAAAGCATATGAGTTTTTATTTAGATGGGGGGGTGTATCTTGGGTTGGGGGGATGGAGAAGGGAGGATTCCTAAGGACAAATAACCCCTAAAAATGAAATCTCTCGTGTTTGTTTTGAATTAAATTATGACATCTCCAGTGAACATACAAGTTCACTTAAATGTGAACTGCTCTGCATTTCAAACGATTAAGACTGCTCCAAATTGCAGGAGCTTTTCAGGAACCATATTACTCTCATGATACTTCATTAATCTCCATCATATATGCCAAGCCTGACATGTTTGACAGTGAGGACAATGTGGCTTGCTCCTTTTTGAATCTACAGATAATGCATGTTTTACAGTACTCCAGATGTCTACACTCAATAAAACATTTGACAAAACCAGCCTCTATGTGTTTGGGGATGTCTGTATTGACTGAATGTGGTGTGCTGAATGTGATATGGCACCTGGTGGATGCTGATTACAGAATTTTAAGACATGTGTATGATGCAGTAACCGGCAGTGTGGGGCAGCTACAATTGTATCTTAAAAGAGAGCCTTTCATTGGGATTAGATTATTGGGGTGCCCAGTGATTTGTCTCAGAAAAGTTAATATATTGGTAGATTGCTAGCACTTTCGAGTGGATGTGCAACAGGATAAAGAGATACTGTATTTAACTGGCTTTGAGAGAACACAAAGATAGTCGGTTTAAATCATGTCCTCTGAACACTTCTGCAAAAATACTGTAAATGTGACTTTCCTGGAACATGTTTAATCATTACATTTCAATGTGTTGTCCTCTGAGCGCAAGATTGTAGGTCAAGCAGCAGGGTCTTGAGAAGGAAGGGGCTGCATCACTCGGATGCTTTCAGTCCTTCTAGGAGCATACTGTTGCGGGACAGTTTTCTGCAAATTGTAAAAGGAAAAGCTCCAACCTCCACTGTGTGTGTGTTTTCACCTTGAGACTGTTGTTACGGTTTTAAAGTTGATACTTTTAAATGGGCAAATATACAGGTGTTTGACTTCAGACAAATACTTCCATGAAGTCCCATCATTTGTAAATAGGGAACACTGGTGATGTCATACCCAGACTGCTCTGTAGTGCTTTCCATTTCTAATCCTACACACCATAGCCCTACCCACAGGTAGTCCCTGGGTTACGAACGTCTGGATTGTGAACAACCTGTACTTATGAATGTGCAGACGGTCAGAAAACCCTTTATGAATATCTCTAGGGAAAAGTCGTGGATATATCTAGAGAACTACATGGCGCATTTGGCAATGCATTATCAGTGGCCATGTGGTTTGCTTGAGGTGTTCACAGCTTTGCGCTAGAAATACTTGTGGCTATCTCTACGGAACTACGTGACATGTTTGTTGTTGTTTCTCAGTGGCAGCCTAGTTCCCTAGAGATACAGTATTCACAACTTTTTGTTCCAATGCTTAAGCATACCAAGCATAGAGCACCTACTTCCCTTTGGGTTTTCTTTAGCATTTGCCCTTGTAACCAGGCTCTCAGCGGCTACAAAGCCATTTCTGATGAGAAAAAGAAAATGGCCATACCAGCAACCCTTGAGGCCTACTTCAAGAAAGCCACTCCAGTGGTTAACCCCACCGCCTGCCTCCAGCAGCACAGTCAAACCCTAACTCTCCAGCACCAGGTCCATCGCCATCATTATCAGCTAATGTTAGACTTAATGTTACTTCAAGAATGTTCTAAATTGTTTTAAGAACTGTTTCTTTTATTTGTTTTTACAATGCTTTATACATAATGACAGATTTTCTCTCTCTCCTGTAGTTACTTTATTATGACTGTATTATTATTACAATGCTGTACTGTGTTTAAGGTGTTTTAGTGAATACAGACGTGTTTCTTAAGTGTTGTATATGCATAGAAAGGTAAAATGTATACATACAAACATTTGGCTTGCTTGTGTGCTCTGACTTCCCTACAAATCTGACTTAAGGACATTCTCAGGAATGGAACTTGTTCTTAACCTGGGGACTACCCTGTATTGTAAAATATCGATCTCTTTATTTGAGCTGCATTTGATACAGAAAAGCTGTGTGTTTTGCAGACAGTTTCCCTTGTTTTAGTCACTGTGAGGGATGAATAGCTATTTCTATTAAAAAGGGAGTTCACACTTAGAACTGGATGTTTATTTATTTATTTCATTTATATACCACCATCCATAGGGTTTTCTGGACAGTTTATGAATATTCAATCCAAAAATAATTTGGGTATGTAGTTTTCTTTAATTATCAAAGCATAGTCTTGCTAAACACATTACATACTTGATTTTCCCCCCTGAAAAAAAACCTTGAAAAGTTTAAATATTACAGTAAATAGCACTAAGTTAAATACTACTGTGTGAGCAGAATTCCCTTCCCTCCCTCCTTCCCAGCAGGCCTCCACGTACCTCCACTCTGTGCCAGCAGTCTGGTGGCTTGAAGGTTTTCCCATTTCAATATTTTGTAGCATGTTAAAAATAAAATGCATTTGTTTTGTAAAGTAGTGTCAACAGAATCAAGCTTGATGGTGGCTCTTCTTACCACAAGCATAGGACTGTTATTTTATGAGAATAGTATTGGCCAACCATCTTTTCTGAAAGTTCCCGGTAGGACATGGCCATATCACAAAGAGAGTTGCGTAATAGCACCAGTAATTTGTGCTATTTTAAGTGTAGACAAGGCAGGATGTTGTGAGGAGAACCAGCTTCTCAAGCTGACCTTGAAACCTATAATCTTGGCCTTCTGAGATGTTGTCCTGGGTAGGACTGCAATGATCCTCTCAGGATCTGTTCATCGGCCTTCTAGTGCTCAGCCCTGGCTTAAGAAATGAGCCAAGCCAAAAGGCCATCCACAAATGCCCGCAGAATTCCAGTTGCACAAGTGGCAACCTTCTTGTGCAGCATTCGGACAAGCCCAATTCTTGGCTAGTGCCCACCTGAACATTTATCAAGTTGGACTCTCACCTGTGAGAAAGCACGGCACAGTCTGGGGAGCTGAAGCAGGGGAATCCAATAGATCCCCACCCTAAAGGTGGATTCCTCACACATCCTTAATCCTGGGGCACCTTGTAGGATCTTAAGGTGTCTGTCCTAAAGATCAGCTATAGTGGCAAGTACCACTGGATGAAGTTCTGTCAAGCACCACTGACTACAGATGGTTTCTTCATTGAATGCCTTGCTTAGTGAGCTCCTGGAAGAAGAACAGCTATCCAGTAGTATCTGGGAAATGGAATTAAAATTAATACATAAAATATTTTCAGCAAATTGACTATTCTCACTAATCTTTGCTAGTGTCCAAGGGAATTTGATTCTTTCCCATCACATCTTAGCACTCGGCCTCTTTTGCCATGCTGGAGTGCTTCCTTACTTGGTTAAAGGCAAGAGAATGATCAGAGTCTAATGCAGAATATCTACAAATAAGTCCACAGGAGACACGTATACAAATAAATAGCATGAACTCTGAATAGTCACAAAGTTCGAGAGCAAATTAAAGACTTCAGCTGACTCAGCTGAGAATTCAGATTCAAATGAAAGCACAGTCCTACTTTCATGAGCTCCTCTCCTACTTGTAAGGTTAAGTTTTCTTCTGCCATATAGCTGCTATAATGTTTGAGCCTGCAATGCAATATGCATGCTATTGTAGCTATGAATAGTACATTAAATCCTAGTGAAAGTCTGAGCACAGCAGGGCTTTCTCTCTCCCTCTTCCCTCCTGCTCTCTGTGCCACCCAAAAATAGTTCTCCAGGAGTTTCCCACTTCTCCAGATCAGTTTTTTGAGTGTGTGTCAAAGGCTACACAGAGAGAGGAATTGTTCTTTTCCTGGTTTCACTGATGGAACTATTCTCAGCAGTGGAATGACAGCACTGGATGCAACCCATGGCTTTGAATGTCTGTGATACTATCCCAGTCAATTACATTTGAAATTTGGGAAATTTGGTCAGTCTGGAGTTGTAAGACTCTTCAGAATACTTTCTAGCATAGTGAGTCGTTTTCCCTTCCCACAGCGAAAATGGTATTTCTGCTATTACAAATGAGTGTCCCAAAGAAACAGTAGGCTTTGCTTAACCTGTGACATAGTGGCACGCAGGAATGAGGCTCCCTGGTTAAGCAAGATCTTGCACGAACAGGACGGCCGTGCTTGGCACGGTGCACAATAGCTCTATAGCGCTTTTACAGAGCAATTTAGGTGGAGAACTAGTAAGTAATGGCCTAATGCATGTAATGATTGACAACAGCCACCTTCGCCTTCAGTTTTTACAAGGAGCTGAAAAATTGCCCCCACTAGATATATCTGTCTGTGCTATTAGTGGAGATTTGGGTAGTTTGGAAAATACATCCTCATCACTTTGAGAGGGGAATATGGACTAATACCAAAGTTTTGTATCTGTGATATTAATGGTGTTTGTGAGGCCTTCATAGGAGGAGGAGGAGGTTAGAAATTGTCAAACTGTTCACACATTCCTACCTCCAGAATTTCGGTACAGGCCAATTGAGCTTCTAAAACAAGTATATATAGCAGCCGTTCTAGAAGACATGTGAGATGTGGCATTTGTGTTCTCAGATTGAAAATGGGACCTGCTTGCTGAAGAAACCAAGTCAGTATTTTTGATCTTTCTTTGAAAGAAACTGTAATTTGTAAACCACCAAAACAATTGCCTTTCAGTATAAAGATAGTTTATTTCCTCTTCTAAATACCTAGTGAGTTTCCTAACAAAAGTATAGGATCATGGCACTGATGTGGGGTGGGCGTATTTTAAAGGTTAGGTTAAAATGCACGGTGCTGATTTCGAAACAGTTGCTAATAATCCAGAAGGTAAAACTTTTTTTAAAAAAAGTACATGAATTCCCTGCACACACAAAAGGAGTGTTAAAGCCATAGTGTTTTACTTTGTGCCATGTGTGGCTGTAGACTGTGCCATGTTTTCTGTAAAATACAAGAAGACTTGTTAAAATTGGGGCATCGGTGTTGCTGGAATAGTTTTTTTTATATCTGCGTAGTGGCTCAGAGAT